GGCATCTGCGAGTCACAATGGTGATCCAGGCAATAACTGGTGTCACAGTGAGCTAACCAGTAGGGTAAAGATGGCCGGCAGAGAAGATCTGGGGAAACTGAGGGATCATGGCAGCAGGCTGACATGTTTAATTAGCTTTTGGACACATGCTTATTACATGTGATTGGAGACTAACTTCTGGACCATTGTCTTAAACTTATTAAAAGCCTATTTTATTTTTTTCTAGCCTGTTAATTGCATTTAACCAGTAAAATAATCAGTAATACAATCTTAAAGAAAATGAATTCTCTTTATTTGAATGAAATGATAAAAATGAAAACTCAAAATTTAAACTGTCTATCACATCTAATTACAGGATGTTTTTAATAGTCTATTCCTTCCCAGAGTGACTATGGCTGTCCATTAGATATAATTATGGGTACCTCTCAGTCAAAAGTTTTTTTATCCTAGGACCCTAATTCCTTATGCTTTTTCCTTAGCCAAGTTTTTAGGAGTTGAGGTGAAGCATTATCTGAACAAGCAAGGTATCTAGCACATACTTCATGTTTGCTGTGTACCAGGTACTTTTTAAAGCAGGTTAAGTAGTTAATTCTTTCAGTGATTGCAATGGCTTTTTATGTCTTAGGTATGTATTATCATTACTCCTCTTTGAAGACATGGAGACACAGGGAACTTGATCAAAGAGCTAGGTAGTCCAATTCTTGAGTAATTTTCTTAATTGCTAGATTATACTATTCTCTTAATAGGCACAGCAGGATTTCAGTCCTCCACTGGGATCATCTGTTCTTTGTTATTGCTGTTGCTTATTTATTTGTTTTTGTCCCTCACCTTCTTCCACCAGAATCAAGCTGGTTGGTTCACTTCCCTGGTGGTTATATCAGAGGCAGAGCTGTATCTTGCATTGGCATTTATTTGATTCATTTCAATCAGGAGTAGAATTGAATTATTCTATTTCCAGAGAAGTTTGATGAATCATATCCTTTTAGGTATAGGGTTGAAAAACTATGACCTATGGAACAAACTCTGCCACTGTCTGGTTTTGTAAATAAATTTTAATGGTAATCCAATTACACTTAATCATTTATATATTATCTATGATCGCTTTCATGCTACAGTGGCAAAAGTTCAACACTTGGGATAGGGAGGACTATCCCAACTGCAAAAATACTTACTTTTTGTTACAAAAAAATATTACCAAACCTATTTCTGTTCCTGATTGTTTGAGTAGATACAGGAAAAAAATATATATTTGATTCAAGTTGACTTTTGACTAAACCAGTGAATTCTGTATTGCTTATTTATATTTGTCAGAGTAAGAATGTATTACAATGTCCAATGGGACAATTTCCCAAAGATTCAATACATACTTAGTTTTCACATCCATCAAGGTTGAATAAATCACAAATGGAACTTAAAGTACTATTCCAATCAAGCCCTTTACTCTATGCAAGGTATTGGTTGAGGTGCTGAGGAGATGGGGTGGAAGAGAGAGCTCTTCCATAGTTCCAGATGAGAAAGTGTCCCCTATTTAGTGAAGAGATGTTAAACACAGAGAGTGATGAATCTTTCTACTTTGCCTCAGTTCTTAATTTATACTTCGATTATAAGACCTATCATCATTGACTTTCCTTGGAATTATGTGTATAATATCTCTCCACTAAATGTTGACAAACTAGAGATGCAGACCATCTCTTATTCAACTTTGTATCTCTCACAGAATATTATGCACTTCCAGGCACTAAAAATTTGTTGAACTTGACGTTTCTGTCATAAAAAGAGATGAAAAAATGAAAGGCAGTTTCTAAGCACCTATGAACAATGATGCATGAATTCATCTATCTATGCTTTGAAACCCACTCCCGCCTATGTGCATCAGATGTTAGCTCTATTGGGAGCTATTAAGAAGGGAGGGACAAAGTCAGTCAAAGAATTATGAGGTTCACACTGTAAAATTGATTAAAACAGTAGAACAATCTTTTTCTTTTCTATAAGAAAAGAAGATGTTTTGCACTACAATGTCAGAAAGTGCTGTGGGATTTCATTGGCCTTACCATAACATCATTACAAAGCATAATACGTATCTAACGAAGATACTGTGCATTCTTCTGCTAATCACTTTACTGTGAAAGGCAGGTGTTATGACTCTTTGTTTTCTCCAGCAGTATCAGAAATCACTTTTTAAAATCCTCCCTAAAAAAGGAGGCCATTCTAATCTCACTTGTGTGTCAATTCCTCCCTGGAATAAATATCAAAGACAGGTCCTTCTTTTGCCTTCAACTTTAAGTATACATAGTAGGTAATAAAGAGATGAATTCTAAATCCTGCCCTCCCACTGGAGTTGCTCATGTAATTTGCCTCCTGGGACTTGGTCAGATGTCTGCTCCCAATTCTGAAAAATCACATACTTCCACAGGGCATGCTTATGTCTTTTCAAAGAAGCAGCATAGAATGGATCCAACTGCTTAGTAACATATCCCATGACGAAACCTCCTGATTGATACTGCTTGCCGAATAGAGCTCATTTTCTGAAAGTGCACCTAAAGAATTTTGTGTGGTCTCATCCCTTCTCCCATGACCTATTAGTAGCTCCTTTGACTGGGTTCCAGAATTCTGAATTGGTTCAGTGGCAGAATGAAAAAGCCTTCTTTTCATCTTGACTGCTGCTCTCAGAGCTGTCGCTCTCCCACAGAGGGTTCTTTTTCAAACCGTCCTTTCTGAGGATTTTTACTGTAACTCCGTAAGGATTCAAGTTTTATCTTCCTTTTGTTCCTTTTCAACATCAATTAGTTGGTGAGACAAACTGAAACAAGATAAATGTTCAGTTTTGAACTAGGAATACAATTCAAAGCTGACATTGGCTTATCAGGCTGGTAATTCTCCCTTTTCCTTAAATATTTGATGACATAAAATACAAATGTTCAATAAATGCTTGTGACATGAAATTGGGTTGAACTGAAATCCTGGGGGTGTGGGTGGGGGAAGGTGAAACAAACAGAAAAAAAAATGAAAAAACAAAACAACCCAAACAAAAATCAAACCCCCAAATCTAAAGTGAAACATCTGTTTTAATTTCCTCACTACTTTTAATTGTTCCTGCACATAATATACTGATTTTAAAAGAAAGAAAATTGGCCCTTATGTCAAATGATGAGACACCTTTTAAACTACGGGTATCTAAATGAGTCACAAAAATCTCTGTGTTCATATGTTGTTTTATGAAGCTGACAAATTCCAAGAGAAGAGAAAGCGGCAACTCCAGGAAATGTTCTGCTAGGGCATTCCCCACAGTGCAGGATTAAATTGCCCCCTCACCAATGAAGAAAAAGTGTGCATTACAGACAAAAATATTTTCTCCATTCACAGACTAGGAAACTCCTTTGAGTAAATAGCTTTGTTGTATTCACTGCTGTAACTACAACAATTATTTTAGACATGTACAAAAATTGATGATTATTACAGTGACACAGTTATTAGGGATAATTTCTAGTTAGATTGTTTTTCTGTCAATGGATAAGAGGCAAAAATAATACTCTAGTAGTAATATTGGCTTGAGCTTCATTGGATTTAAATTAAGGTACCAACTTGAACAGAGGGCAAATATGCTTAGCATGTGTTTCTGTGGCCTTCTGACAGAGACCATTGAGTGGGCAGCATGGACATGAGCTGGGAACATGGAGGGGCCCAGAGCAGAATTCCCAGAGGCTGGATGCTGCTTCAACTATGACCTATTTTTACTTGGTAAAAACAAAACATATTTATCCCAAGGAAACACCTCCCAATTCTATCTAACTTTTAAAACTGAAAGGCAGGAAATCACTTTGCTTATGGCTTTAAATTATTGTGTTTTTTGTCTTTTGTTCCTTGTTTTGTTTTGCTGCTCCTGCAATGGACTATTACCTCTGAATTTCATGGTCATCTACCAGCACTTAGATTTCATACAGAAAAACAATTTTTCCTAGTTTCTTTTCTTCTTCTTTCTCTCTTCTCACATAAATAAATCGGACATTCTAAAGCCATCATTTAAGTGCAGGCGCTTCTCTTTCTGGGGAATGAATAATGCTGGCCTAGTTATGACAAGTCAGTTTCTTTCTAAGATATAATATAAATTCTCAGTGTTAATTCAATGTTCAAAACTTACAAATGTGCCCATTTTTTTTCTGAAAGCCTTCTTTTAGGCATTTTATTCATAGTTCAATAATTAAAAGGGCCTAAATTTTGTTAAGAAAGCAGAATGATGAATCAACTTTGCAAAAGAGTTCAAAGTAGAGGAGCAAATTATGTGGGAAAGAATGGTTGTCCTGCAGTGGATGACCTATTAAAGTATGGGAGAAATTACACCTTGTTAATTGTTAAAACTACCCTGCATTCATTTCAAAAGACATAAAACAATCATCATATTTTGAATACTATAGGTTAATAAGGCTTATGATGTTCACTCAGAGAAGAAAGACACTCATAACTTCTTGTTTTAGCAATCATTGTGAGCATATTGCATAATAATACACAGAACCCTGGATACAAATCTATATCAATAAATAAATACTGTTAATACTATTATTTATTTTCAAGTCATCTTAAACCAAGATAATAGATGTTGCTAAAAGGGTAATACAAATTTTCCCAATTGTCAAACGGTTCTGCCTATTTCCAAGTTACTAAGTATTGATTGCAATTTATATTTAGTGATTTATACCATAAAAATTTGCTGTGAAACATTTGCAGCATTTATATTTTACTGCTCTAGCCATATGCCATCAAATTCATATGCTTGCTCTATTCTTTCTTGTCAGTTCAGAACCTGTTTTTAAGTCATGTTCCATTGAATGACTCATAAATTAAAGACATTTGTAAAAAACAGCAAAGAACTAAGATTTCTTTTTGATAATGTTTCATGCATTAAGTTGGAATAGTTTTTCTATAATATTTAAGTAAATGATTTAATAGGTTAGCATCTGAGAAAGAAGCAAGAAACATAGGAAGGTCAAACATTTAATACTTACTGTACAGAATAGTTCCATTTAAAGTATTTGTTTTTATAGTCAAGTAGATGGTGACAATTCTGCTGTGTTCTTTCTCTGGGATAAACTTTGACTTATCCAGGGTTGTAAAAAAAGGCAGTTCTAAATAGGAATTCCCATTGAAATATGGAAAAAATAAACTTGCATCTGAAAATAAGGAGAGCACAATAACCAAATACTGTTAATACTATTATTTATTTTCAAGTCATCTTAAACCAAGATAATAGATGTTTTGATAATATTCTATTACTACTTATTTACATAAGAACCTAGTAATTATAGTCAGCATTCATTCAAAAAGGTAGCACTGATATATTTATTTATTTATTTTTAAAGGAGTGTTCTTTTTTTAAAAATACATTTATTCACTCATTTAATTTTTTATGTGGTGCTGAGGATGGAACCCAGGGTCTCGTGCATGCAAGACGAGCGCTCTACCACTGAGCCACAACCCCAGCACTGATATATTTAAATATTAAGTACAACTTTAAGAAATTTAGCTATAGATGTATTATAGTTCTATAGTTATTATCTCAAATAATTAACTACCAGTCAAGAGGAAGATTTAGTGTAAGAATTTGATATTTCTGAGTGAGTTTTAAAGTCAACAAAAACTCCAAAGTTACATAAAATATGTATATATTTGCATTTGTGAAATTATAGTTCTCCTCTGATTCTTAAAATATTCTGTGACACAAATGGTATACATGTTTGCCAAAACATTAAGTTATACAATTAAATTCAATGATCTTATTTGATACAGACATATCTCAGAAAAAATGAACAAATCTGTGAAAACAAATATTATAAAACTGCCATATAGAGAGATTCTGTTAATATTCATTAATATTTAGTGCTTCCCAATAATTCTTAGATGTTTTATAACTGGTATTCCTATAATGTGGAATATTTGCTTTAGAAGTATTCATCTAGAATTATTAATATTTTAAGTAAATAATCTCACAAAATCTTGGAGCACATAAAATTTGAAAAACACTTATTTTATTGGTACACATCTACAATTATATCTAAATATAATTGGTACATTGAACAAATATACATGGAAATTTTGGAAATGCAATATTTTATTTTTAGTTTTTTTTTTCAAAATGGGGGAACATTTTTCTGCCACTGGATGAAAATTTGGCACTCCCTCCAAGTCCTACCTTCTAAGTCATACAGCGAATCAGAAACTAACCCAGACAAAGAAATGTATTATCACTTAACTTTTCCTTTAGAGATAGGACTTTTGCCATCCTCCTCCACCAGCCAAGGCATGTAGGTGACCTGTCACCAGCTGTCTGCCTTGAGGATAGGAGAAAGCTGGTTTCTGTTCTTTTTTTATCCTTACCCCTCACCTTTAGGCTAGCTGACATTGCTAACCCTTCCAGTTCAGCATGCTGAGACAGAGAGGAAAACTGAAGAGGGGTGAAGTACACAGTAAAGGACAGCTGTTACTGCTAGCAGTTGATACCCTTGTAAATAGGGTCTTTGCTCTCTAGGAATGGCAGGTGTTTCAAACTAATTGCTTACTTAATGGAGGGGGCACCAGATAATATACAGGATGCTCAATTAAATTTGAATTTCAGATAAACAGTAAATAATTTTTTTTGTAATATATTTGTCCCAAACATTGCATGGAATATACTTAAACTATTTTTTTAAAAAAATTTAAATGTAACCAGTTGCCTTATCTTTTCAGTTGTATTGAATCTGACAGGCTTATGATTCAAGAGCATATGTGTATAATCTTCAGAAGCTGTGCAGTTAGCAAGTACAGCTCCTAGGACCTATAGTTGTAGGATTCTCCTTTTGGTTGGGCATTTCTATCTTGGTCTTGCTCTGATTTTTTAAGGTTATGTACATAATTGCTGTTGACAATGCCTTGCCTGTGTTAGTGAAAAAGTTGCGCTCACATCTTGTTATGGTTTGAATGTGAGGTGTCCCCCAAAAGCTTACAAGTGAGACAATGTAGGGAGGTTCAGAGGAAAAATGACAGGATTGTGAGAATCAACCCAGTCAGTAAATTAATCCTCTGATTGGGATTAACTGAGTGGTAATTGAAGAGGTAGGGTGTGGCTTTGGTGTATATATTTGTATCCAGTGAGTGGAGTCTCTTCCTCTGCTTTCCAGATCACCCTGATGTGAGCCACTTCCCTCTGTCACACTCTCTCCCCATGGTGTTTAGCCTCACCTCCATCCCTGAGGAATGGAGCTGGCCTTCTATGGACTAAGACCTCTGAAACCCTGAGCCTTCAAATAAACTTTTCCCATTTTAAAATTGTTCTGGTTTGATCCATTAGTCACAGCAGCAGAAAAGCTGACTAAACCACACCTTAAATAGGCAAGGATGACTGTTTTTTTCCAAGGCAGTTTCAAAAGGAGAGATAGAGGTCTGAGATGAATTTGAAATAAAGGGTGAAAGAATTTTTAATGGCTGGAGCAAGAGGAGGAACACAGGCCATGTGTGTTTGCTAGTGGACTTTGTAGTACAACTTGGAGCATGGGGTCCCTCGAACTTAGGCTCAGGACTACCCCCCACGAAAGTTGAAATTTACGATGCTTTCTTTTTAAAGCTTACATTTACCCCCGTCCTCGGATATTTCTGGTTTGGAAAACTGGCTAGAGGTTTTTGATTTGCATATCAAAGGGGGCACAGAGAAAGCATTTACAATTGAAAGTTTCCTAAAGTACAACCTCTAAGAAGGGGAAGGTTGGTCAGGAATCTGGAGTCAGGAAGAAGCCTGTTTAAAGTTGGTCAAACCTAGAGGAGGATTTAAAGCCATCTTGGCCCATTATTAGAAGAATCATTTGGGCTGAATATAAAATGTCTCTACTTCAACTACATTTCCTGAGGGGTATTCCAGCCTGTGATAAAAATTTCTACATTCCCTGCCCTCCCTGTATGTACATATTTATTTATTTATTTATCTTGTTTTATTAATTTTTGTTTATTTATATATGACAGTGGAATGCATTACAATTCTTATTACACATATAGAGCACAATGTTTTATATCCCTGGTTGTATACAAAGTATATTCACGCCAACTCTAGATAAGGCAGAGGGGTAGGAAGGGAAGGGAGGGGGTGAGGGGAATATTGGGTTAAAAATGATGGTGGAATGTGATGGACATTATTATCCAAAGTACATGTATAAAGACATGAATTGTACAGCCATATTTAATTCTCAAACATTCTCTTATTCTTATTTTCTCTCCCTCTCTCTCTCTCTCTCAGACACACACATACATACATACACACACACACACACACACACACACACACAGTTTTAACTTATCAGGTATAAAGTATTCCCTATCAGTACAGGATCTAATTTTCCAAGTGGTAAAGTTGTAGCTACCCCAGACACACACTGTCACATGTGGTCTGTGGAAGAGGGTCAGGAGAGATGTTCAAAAGTTAGCTTTCTACTAAATTGTTTTCCACAAAATCATGTCTCTAAATGTCCTCTCTCCTTTCTGAATACTGACCCTTTTGATAGCAATAATATATCCCAGTTAAATTTTGTTTTTAAATATGATATTTTATTTGCAGCATAATTTTCTGATGTGTGAAATAAAGTTTACTTTTTAGCACTCTGTTTATGTCTACAAGTTGTGAAGTTAATTTTGAGAGTCAGATACAAATAATTTAATCCATCTATTTAAACAAATTCTAAGTTATATAGTAACACACATTTTACTATTTCTTAGCCTTCTACATACAATTTTAAACTCCTGGAAATTTTCCTACCTACATTTTCCTTTACATTTCTTAAAATTCTGCATTTTATTGTATGATTTTTCCCCAAAGATTATTAAAGCCTCGTTAGCAAATCTTTAATTAGTGCTCATATGCTTAGGAGTTTCTATAATACTAAACATTCTCTTTTATTAAAATGTTCTCTTTCTCACCTTTCATGACACTTGGCTGTCTTCTTGCCTGCCCAATAACTCTTTTGCAAACCAGTTTTTCAGCCTTGCCATAATGCACATATTTTCCAAGGCAGTGTCCTGGGTCAGCTAATCTCTGTCTTTTCTAAAAACTGCTCCTCCTCCAGTTTCTTACTCACAGTGCTTACTAATCCAAGTTTAGAAATTCAGCATCATTATCCACCCATCTAGTTGCTGGTTCCTGACACCTCTTCCTTAGATCAAATCTTGCAACTTTCCTTCTGCTACCACTATTCTTATTTGAGTTATCATTACATTTCAACTCAAGAAGTATACCAGCTTCTTCCCACCCAGCCTCTCTTCCCATTGTTTCTATGAGCTGTCATTGCAGTCACATCAATTTTATCTAGTTGTAATCATCTAAGACCTTTGGTCAAAACCTTCAGTGGTGCAAGATAAATTATCAAGTAATCCAAGTCTTCCATGGTTTTATTTTCAGTGCTTCCACACATTATACATCTACTGGTGTGGTCGAACCATACTTCTTCTTATGGTTGAACCACACTTTCTTCTCTTGTTCTGCTTGTGTTCATTCACACTGTTCTGTCTGAAATGTCCTTTAAGTCCTAGGTATAGATATTCTCTCTCAATTGAAGACTTGAATAAATCCCCAGATTGGAACTTCCTTTAGCATTATATCTACAACTCTTATAGTCTATTTGTTGTTTTCTGTCTTTTGTTACAATCATTGGTTTAAAATTTGAATCAAATCGACCATATAGTGAGCTAGTTATTTTGGGTGAGGGAGGTAAATTTACTTAAATGAGTACAAATGAAATGAGTTCTAAATAAATGAGTTCTAAGAAGACATTTGAGAAATATGAGGTAAGGAGGCGAGTTTGCTCTTGTGTGTCCAGAAAAGTCCATGGCACAGTTGAAATTTCACCAGATGGAGCAGAATGTTTGGCAGAAGCTGGACTGCACATGCACCACTTTTTAATGTAATTATAAGTAGAAAAACCATATGCCAATCAAGTTAAAATGCAATATGGCTAGCTCTACACTGAAGGAAATTTGGATGAAAAATTTGGATAGTATTATGGCAGAGGAAAATATTTAAGATTACAAAGAGGTGAACTTGAGTTTTCAATAAATATGGTCCTTAACATATAACTTGGAAATTATTTGGATGTTGCATATGTGTTGATTCTACCACAGATATGGTTTTACATACTGTTTCTACTTCTTTTTA